CAGTTTCCTCATAGAACCCTTTACTTGAAGTGAGTTTTGTACAAGTTTACAATCCAGACGAAACACAACCCCTGGTTTAGATAATTGTCCATACATTTTGATCAAAAACCTAAATCAGTCCGTACAAAAGAAACTATTAGCTAATCTTAATGCTCTTTGGCACTTAAAAAAAATTCCTGAATCTTGGAAAACACAGTGTGTAATCCCTCTACTTAAGCTTGACAAGCCACCTGAAGATCCTAATTCATATCGTCCTATATCTTTGTCATCTTGTGTTGGAAAGCTTAATGAAAACATGATAAAGATGCGTCTTGAGTGTTATGTAGAGGCGAACAACATCATTCCACATGTTCAATATGGCTTCCGGAGAGGCAGAAGTTGTGCTGACAGCTTCATCTCTCTCTTGTCAGATCTGAAATATGCCAATAATAATAATAAGTCCAGTGTTTGTGTTTTTCTGGATATTGAAGGTGCGTTTGATAATGTAGATCCTGGCATTTTGGTTCAAGTTCTTTCTGACATTGGTATACCAGGCATACTTTGCCATTGGTTATTTAATTTTTTAATAGATAGAACTTTGTATATAAGGCATAATAATATTCTCCATGGTCCCAGAAGGGTCTCCAAAGGTACAATGCAGGGGGCTACATCATCTCCATTGTTGTACAACATATACACTAGTCAAATTCTTAATTTTGTAAATATAGAAGGTGTAAATATTTTACAATTTGCGGATGATCTTGTAATATATTGTACAGACCATAATGTAGATAGAGCTGTAAATAGTATAAATAATGCTTTAGAGCAATTGTACATATATTATAATGACAAGTTGGCTCTACAGATTAACCCTAACAAAAGCAAGGCCATGATTTTTACTAAAGATTTTCCCTCTAATGGCATACTCTACAATAATCATCCAATTTCAGTTGTATCTAACCATAAATTCCTGGGTGTTGTCATTAATAACAAACTTTGTTTTAATTTACACATCAATCACATTATAACTAACTCTCTTAAGGGCTTAAATATTATAAGATGTTTAGCTGGTGTGACTTGGGGTGCAGACCCCAAAGTTTTAAGTATGCTATATAAATCTATAGTCAGAAGCCATTTCGACTACAGTTGTTCATCATCATCATTACAGCCCTTCACAAGTCCACTGCTGAACATAGGCCTCCCCCAGAGAATGCCACAAAGCACGGTCCTGAGCCACCTGCATCCATCGACTTCCTGCATGTCTTACCAGGTCGTCACTCCATCTCGTGGGGGGACGCCCTACACTTCGCCTACCGGTACGAGGCTGCCACTCGAGAACCTTTCTTCCCCATCGGTTGTCGGTTCTTCGAGCTATATGGCCGGCCCACTGCCACTTCAGCTTACTAATCCGTTGGGCTATGTCGGTTACTCTGGTTCTACTGCGGATATCCTCATTCCTAAGTTTATCACGCAGAGAAACTCCGAGCATAGCCCTCTCCATAGCTCGCTGAGCGACCTTGAGCCTCCTCATACGGCCAGCAGTGAAGGACCACGTCTCAGTTCCATAAGTCATTACTGGCAACACGCACTGGTTGTACAATTTCGTTTTCAGGTTTTGAGGTATGTCTGACGAGAAGATGTGTCGTAGCTTCCCGAACGCTGCCCAGCCGAGTTGAATCCGTCGATTGACCTCTCGGTCGAAGTTGGACTTACCTAGTCGGACTATTTGTCCCAGGTAAACATACTCGTCAACAACTTCGAGCTTAGTGTTCCCAACAACTACCGGCATAGGTGTGACATGGACATTAAACATGATCTTTGTTTTGTCCATGTTCATCTTAAGACCTATCCGTTGGGAAACACTATCGAGGTCATTGAGCATAGTGCTTAGGTCCTCCAGCGATTCTGCCATAAGGACTATATCGTCGGCAAATCGAAGGTGAGTGATGTACTCGCCATTGATGTTGATACCGTATCCTTTCCAGTCCAGAAGCTTGAAAACGTCTTCCAATGCAGCGGTGAAGAGTTTTGGGGATATGACGTCACCCTGTCTTACACCTCTCTGCAATTGGATAGGTTTCGTACTCTGGTTCTGTACTCGGATAGCCATCGTAGCCCTACTGTACAAGCACTTCAACACTTCGATATACCGACAGTCAACTTGGCACCGCTGAAGGGACTGCAGCACCGCCCAAATTTCGACGGAATCAAAGGCTTTCTCATAGTCCACATACGCCAGACATAGTGGCAAATTGTACTCTTCGGACTTCTGTACAATTTGGCGAAGGGTATGTATGTGGTCTATGGTGCTAAAGCCCTTTCGGAAACCGGCTTGTTCGGGAGGCTGGAAGTCGTCAAGTCTGCGCGCGAGACGATTCGTAATGACTCTCGAAAACAGCACGTAGACGCGGCTCAGAAGGGAAATCGGTCTGTAGTTCTTCAAGAGAGCGTTGTCACCTTTCTTGAAGAACAAGACCACCGCACTTCTGCTCCACGCCTCCGGTGTAATGCCACCATGGAGGACGGAATTAAAGAGCTTCTGAAGGACTTCAAGTACCGGTCTTCCACCCGCTTTCAGAAGCTCCGCTGTAATTCCATCCTCGCCTGGGGCCTTACCGTTTTTAAGGTGCTGGAGAGCCATTCTAATCTCGCTCAGACTGACGTCCGGGATATCTTCGGAATAGTGTCGGATGAGACTCGCTCTTGGATCGTTACTCACACTTGCGTGTGGCTCCAACGATGACGTGTACAGCTGCCCATAGAACCTCTCAATCTCACTCAAAATCTCAGGTGTCCCGGAAACGATGCTGCCACATTCTGTCTTCAGCTTTGACAGTTGGCTCTTTCTGGCAGACAGATCTCTGGCAAAGACTTTGGAGCCTTGGTTCCGCTCGATCGCTTCTTCAATACGAGCTGTATTGAAGTTGCGTAAGTCCCGCCGCATGCATTTCGAGATCTGTCTGTTCAGATGCCTGTATGCTGTCAAGTCTGTTGAAGAATGTAGCTTCATCTCCCGTCTAACAGCCATGAGATTAAGAGTGTGATCGGAGAGTTTTTGTGTTCTTCTGCGGCGGGTCTTGCAGAACTTAGCTCCGACCGCATGGACAGTTTCCACGAGCTTGTCATTCATATCGTCCACTTCATTGCAGTCTTCTAGGCACTGAAAACGGTTTTGTAACTCGAGCTGAAAGGTCTCGGGACTTTGGAACAGAGCACGAGGGGGACGGAGCGTTGACTTCATTAGACGAGACCTCTCCAACTTAACGTTTAGGTTCAGTGTGCCTCTAACCATTCGGTGATCGCTACCAGTTTTCACTCTCGCGATCACGGCGACATCACTGAACAGTTGTCGTCTGGTCGTCATAATGAAGTCAATCTCATTTTTTGTCGAACCGTCGGGGCTCGACCAGGTCCACTTCCTGTGGGGCCGCTTCTGGAAGAAAGAGTTCATCATAAAGAGTCCCTCTTTCTCCATGAAGTCGGCCAGCTGCTGGCCCCTTGGGTTCCGTTGCCCTATTCCAAATGGTGTTTAGCCTACTCAAATAGTAGTTGTGTAAAAAAACTAGACATAATTCAAAACAAAGCTCTGCGAATTATTTCTGGGGCTATGTGTTCAACTCCCATACGAGCTATGGAAGTTGAAACCAAAATAATGCCACTGTGTCTTAGAAGACTTCTGCTAATAGAGAGATATTTACTAAAGCTGGTAACAGGTAATGATAATGTTCTCAAAAAAATAGTACCTTTTCCTTTACAATGCTCGGTCCAGCAGACTTCGGGAGGTGAGCTTTTACAAGGTTATTTTCCAGTTTTGCCTCTCATTGTACAGCAAATGAATGAAGATTTTAAAAATGTAATTAAACAATCAAAGTGGACATGCTACACATACCCATATTCCTGTATTATATTTGAGACCAAAATTGTTACCAAAAATTTTTTTAATAATTGTGAATTATTAAGTTTTATTTCCGACAATAACTACTATACTTTGTATACAGATGGTAGCAAAAGTGAGCTCTTTGTGCGCAGTGCCGTTTATGATCCACAATGCAAGTTTGGTCAAAGTTTTCTTCTGGACCCTAAATGCAGTGTTTTCACTGCAGAGGTATATGCGGCCCTCGAGGCCCTGAAGAGGATTGCACATATAAATAGTTTTAATAATTTTTTAATTTTAACAGACAGTTTAAGTATGGTCCAAAGTTTAACTAATCTCAGATTTGACTTTAAAAAAAACTATATTTTGTATAATATTAAAAAATTGTTATTTAGTTATGCAAAAAAGGGTATACAGGTCTCTTTCATGTGGATTCCATCACATAGGGGCATAACAGGAAATGAGATAGTAGATAAAATTGCACGTGATGGAACCAACATGTTGGATGTTAGCTCCATAGTAAAAGTACCTTTGACCGACTGTTATCAATCTATTGACAACCAGGTCAATAGCTTATGGGTCGAATTTTGGAAACAAGATCAAGAACAGAAGGGTAAATGGTATGGAACTGTTCAAGAAAAACTACCTGTAGCACCATGGTATAACAAACTGAAAATGGCCAGTCGGGACTTTGTTACCACTATAAATAGACTGCGCTTTGGTCACTCCACCGTCCCGGCCCACCTGGCTCGATTGGGCATAGTGGAGAGCAGTTACTGCACCTTCTGCAATAATTCTGTTGGTGATATCGAACATTTCATATTTACATGTGAGTGCTTTTCATTTGACAGATTGATTCTTGTCAGTGAAATTAGTGACATAGTGCAAAATCAAGTGACAGTGCAAGATCCCTCCCGCCGCCTGAGTGATATGTTAAAAAATAGATCCTATTACGTGCCTCTATATAAATTCATCAAAAATACAGTGGGGAAATTATAATAAACCGAATAAAAATACTCAAGACTTGGCCTAAAGGTCGAGATGCCAGGCCATAAACTCCAAAAAAAAAATTATTAAATTACAAATGGCAGATCCTAAGGGTATTAGTGTTCTGTGATTACTATACTCTTTGATTATAAAGCAACACAGAACACTAGAGTTTTGGCGGGAACTTGACCGGCATCGGTTTGCTGCTCCTGTTTTATTGTTTAAATAATGGTTTGAAGTGGACCTTGATATGTAAAAGTGGTGCGATTTTGTGTATTAAGTGTCTGCGCATGTGTACTATTAGTGGAAACTGTGAAACAAGTGCTCTGATAGTGATGTGATTCCCAAAATAAGGTGCCTGTCTGCTTAGGCGCCTTGAGATACCATCGCCAACCGTCAGCTGTCTGCTGGCTCAAGTTACCGTCAAAATCTCCCGAGGGCTGCACAATGAGGCGCATCAACATATTGTGAAGCAGTATACTATGAAGAATAATTATTATAATATAATATTGTAACTTCAGGCTCAGAAAAGCTAGATCCCAGAGCCGTAAAGCCAGTTATTAAGAAAGAAGAAGAAAAAGAACAGAACCATAGATAAGAGTGTATATACTGAAAACAGAACACTAATATCCGCCTAAGGGTATTAGTGGGGTATTAGTGTTCTGTTTTAAATAAAGTTGAATTGTGCTTACAATATTTTTGAAAATTTCGTTTTATTGAAGAAAAAGAGAGTTCAATTATATTAAAGCTGTAGGAAACAGAAATGGCGTTTGGTGAAATTTGTAGAATTTGTTTAAGCGTTAGTGTACGCATGTTTGTTCTAAAGAAGATTGGCCTCCAAAATTTATATAAAACATTGACGAACACATTTGTAAGTTACTGTGTCAGCGGTAATTTGTTGCTATCGCTGGAGAAATATATTATTACTTGCCTGTTATAAAATGCTATAGATCGGGGCTAGGCTAAGGTACAGCGTTAAATATAGTGAGTGACAAATACAAGCAGACCCGAAAAACAACAATTAGCCCGGTATCCTGGGTCGCACTAAAATCAGTATTATCATTGAAGTAATATGTACTACGTACTAGAAGAGTCGCCGAAACTGTTTGCAACAAGTGTTAGAGCCTGCGAGCTCAATTGCTTCCAGACACTGAAATTCCCTCACTCTCATATTCCTATCAGACTGAGAAATCAAAGGAGGGAATTGTGTGCACTTGTGTTTGCTTACATACACATGCAATAATTGCACACTTTGACAGAATTAAATTATTTAAACCTGTCCTGCGCTAATGAGTAGTCTCAATTGCAACCAAAATTCTGTCTGTAGGACATTATTATAATTATTTTTTACATAATTCTCGAGTGGTAGCCTCATACTGGTAAGCAAATAGTAGTGTGGCCCAAACACTAGATAGTGGTAATCTGATAAGACAGGAAGTCGATGAATGTAGGTTGTGGTAGTTGCAGTTGCCACTTACCATCAAGTGGATGGCAAGTTTATTTGTCACTTCAATATTATAAAACATGATGTTGATGAAGTGAATTGTGAACTTTCATATTTTCAGATGGATGAGAATGAAGGGCCTATAATTGTCTGTTTCACCTGTCATGCAAGACTCATTCGTTGCAGAAGATTACAACAACAGGCTATTGAGTCAAATGCAGTTCTGGAACAGTTGCTTGCAGGAGGGTCCATGGTATTAGTCTAGTTTCAATTTCATCCATCAAAACATATTAAAGTCCACTGCTGAACATAGATCTTCCTCATAGATTGCTTCATTACAGGGATTTTGCCAAATTTGCCACGATTGGCAGGTTGGCAACCACAGTTATATTAGTCTGAGTTATTATCATGGAGATGCTGCTGCCCAACTCCTGTTTCTGTTTCCCTCTGTCGCCTCTTATGGCACATAGGGTAGTGGATGTTGGAATGAAGTATTTGCCTCAACCATCACTTGGTAGGCATCTTGATGATCACTACCTGTCTTGCGTTTTCTATATTGTATCCTGTTGCTATATGGGAGAATGTTTTTTTCTACTGCAAAGTTAAGTTTGTCCTTCAATCCAACTTACTCTTTTGTTAGAGTAATGTTTAGTATTTCTTTTAACTAATTACAGTAAGTAAAGCACTTATTTTTACAAAAATAATTATCTAACTGTTCATACAGTTATATGTTACTCTATTGTATTTAAATGAAATATTATCTATATGTAATATTACTCAGTAAACAAAGATTAATCGTTGTCTATTTACAGTATTTGTGAGTCTAATTCGAAAAATTGTTGAGACTCGATTCTCAGGATGGATGAACTATCTACATTTTTATCCCTCACTTTTGTCCGTTTTTTTATTATTATTTGGAGTTGTTGTCAGGAAGATGCTTCTGCCTTCTGTTTCAATTTCCTTCTGTCCGTTTTTACGACATCTGTAAGATGGTATGGGGTAGTATGGATTTTTCTACACCACTACTATTCTAGCTTTTTTTTCTCTTATTTAAAAAAATAATTTGGTTTCAGTTAATACCAAAACCGTATGAAGCTAGAGATGAGATGCAATTCACACCAATTTGTCATATTGATATCTGGCCAGTAGAGTGTGATATAGAAAATGATTGTAAGGACGAAATTTTTTGCCTTGATTCCGTTAAAGTTCAGGAAGAGAATTTCGAATATGAGAATTTCAAATTTGAAGAAAATGGCAATTATGAAACAGGTAAGATTTTGTGATATTCTTAAAATTGTAATGGCAAGTGGTTACTGTAGCCCATGAACACAAAATAAAGAGGGCTTCATTTTATGCAATATACTGATTTATTGATTTTCCTTTGCCTAAATTCAAAGTGCATGTAAAAGCACCCTCATGGAGAAAGAAAATAAGTTAAATAATTATTTAAAAGATTAGCATGCACGGACATCATAATAGGCTTTGTTAGACATTTTCTTTTATTTATGTATAAACATATTTAAAAATATTTTGATCCTGCATAAATGTCACCAGTATGTATGTCACTAAGATGTTATTATTAATTTCTGTTTCTATTAATTAATGATATACTTATAACTGGTAACCACCTATCTTTAACAATTTCTTAGTGTCATTACTTCTGGTGGTGGGACCCCATTTTTGCCCAGGAGTTGAACTCTTATCATCATCATCATTACAACCCTTCACACGTCCACTGCTGAACAGGCTGCCCCCAAGTAATTCCAGGTCGTCACTCCATCTAGTGTGGGGCCACCCTACACTTCGGCTACTGGTACGAGGCTGCCACTCGAGAATCATTTTTCCCCATCGATTGTCAGTTCTTCGGCCCATTGCCACTTCAGCTTATTACACTTAGCTTATCAAACATGCAGTATGGTAATGAAAGAGAGTGACTCTAGCCCATAAGCTGTGTGATGGACTGTAATGATCTAGCCGCATGGAAAAAATATCAGTTTTTATTTTATATATTGAGTCAGAATCTGTTTCATTCTAGAGACTGTTGAAAAACAAGAAGACTTGGAGATTGATGCTTTTGAAGATAGAAATACGGTTTCGGAGGATGACTTGCCACTAATTGCATTTGGTTCAAAGAGTAATGAGCAATTTGTAACTGCAAATTTTAAAAAGAAGCCCAGGAATAATTTTAGAGAGAATGAAGACATAGGTAAAATAGTTTATTTTAAAAAGAACCTGTAATAATAAATGTGTAATATTATTATTATACATTAAATGAAGGTAAACTAAGAAAATATCTGTTTTAGGTCATGGTTCAAAGTTACCATGTAAATGTACTATAAACAATAAAAAAAATTTATAACATGTGTAAGAAACGAGCAGACAGTCCACCTGATGATAAGTGGTTGCTGTGACCCATAGACATCTACATCTATCCTCATCAAAATGCAGATGCGTTGTTACCCGTCAGGACTAAGATGGAATGCCTCTTTTCTAGTAAAAAGGGTCTCCGAATCTCTACAATGACCATACAAAACACAGCTGTGTTAAGCTGCTCCTTTACGCTGGTATTCTGTGAGAGCGTGGTCCTTCCCCGGTCGAGCTGACCCATTTGTGCTACTACTAATATAGCTGCAGCATGGCTCTACCACATATAAATGACATAAAACTGCAACAGTTCACCGATTTCTAGCTTATTATATACAAAATATTTCAAATTTAACTCAGCCATTCCTCAAACTCGCAGTTTGGAATTCGAAACAGCGATTATTAGATTACTGTAATTACAACATGGTCAGAAGAATGTCATCATTATCATATGAATTTAGTTTGTCTACAATTCTTTCCCTCCAAAAATGAATATGAGAGACATTGTATGTAGTAATTGGCTAAAATACTTTAAATCTATCAACATTATTTGGTATAATTATATAAGTTATTATAATTTCTCTATTTCTCCCTGGGTTAACTTATAGAGAATTCCATATTAAGGCATAAACTTCGCCCATTGTAAAATGTTTATGGTATCTTACAATACAAATGCAATGTTTTACAATAATTTAAATGTTTACTTCGTGGGTATTTCAGAACAGTAATTAACACCGACAAATAATTTTTCAGAACCGTCTGAGAAGAAAATTAAATCAAATTCTACTGATAGTAACATAAACTTAGTATGTAAAGAAAACCTTAATTTTGAAGGCCCTTCATCAAACTCTAATCAACAAATTAACATAAAAGGAAAGCATCCTGCAAAGATTATGAAAAAGAAAATTTTGAAACAAAAGACTGTAAATATACTTACGAAAGAAACATCTGGGGCTTTATCAAAATACATTGTTGAATGTGATGATTGTAGCAAAACATTTTCAACAAAAGATGTTCTCACCGCCCACAAATCATACATTCATAAGACGCAAAAGAACTCTGATGAACTACGGACACAAGTTGAACAAACTCCAGTACCACAACTAACAGATATGTTTAACTGTGGTATTTGCGAATTTAAAACATTTCAGAAACGTTGCATTTTGGCACATCTTAACGCGCATGTCGCTGAACAAGTGTACTGTTGTAATAATTGTGATTATAAATGCACAAATAAAAGAAATTTGGTATACCATATGAAAGTACATACCGGAGAAAAACCTTTTTCATGTAATACTTGTGAATATAAATGTATTAAAAAAAGTTCTTTGCAAACACATATGAAAATACATACCGGAGAAAAACCTTTTGCGTGTCGTATTTGTGAATATAAATGTATACGAAAAACTGATTTGAGAACACACATAAAGATACACACCGGAGATAAATCTTATTCGTGTAATATCTGTGAATATAAATGTATTACAAAAGGTAATTTGCAATACCATGTTATTAAAAAGCACACCGGAGAAAAACCTTTTTCGTGTCATATCTGTGAATATAGATTTATTACAAAAAGTCATTTGCAAACACATATAAAAATACACACTGGAGAAAAACCTTTTTCGTGTCATATCTGTAAATATAAATGTATACGAAAAACTGATTTGAGAACACACATAAAAATACACACCAGAGAAAAATCTTATGTGTGTAATATCTGTGAATATAAATGTATTACAAAAGGGAATTTGCAATACCATATTATTAAAAAACACTCCAGAGGAAAAACTTATTTGTGTCATATCTGTGAACGTAGATGTATTACAAACAGTGATTTGCAAAGGCATATGAAAATACATACCGGAGAAAAACCTTATTTGTGTCATATCTGTGAATATAGATGTATTATAAAAAGTAATTTGCAAAGGCATATGAAAATACATACCGGATAAAGACTTTTGTGTCTAATATCTGTGAATATATGAAGTAGATGTATAACAAAAAAATAATTGTAATATTAATTAAAAATACACACCGTTAAATTTGTCTGGCGATTTGTAGGTATTATTAAAATTACTCAATAAATACGTGATTATAATTTGAAAGAAGATGTAGTGACATAAATTGAGAAAGGTATGCTGAGATGGTTTGGCCATGTCGAGAGAATGAATGAAGAACGATTGGCAAAAAAAGTGTATAAGGCGAGTGTGAATGAAAGTGTTGGAAAGGGGTAGATCTAGGCGGACGTTTCAAGACCAAATCAGGGACGTCTTGAAAAAAGGCCAGGTCAAGAGTACCCTAAACCGTAGAGCATGTATGAAGGGAATAATGAAGGTGGACGAAGCTAAACAAGTATGTAAGGATCGTAGCAAGTGGAAAAAAGTGGTCTCTGCCTACCCCTACGGGAAAGAGGCGTGATTATATGTATGTATGTTATAACTTCAAATTTTCAAAAGTATATTTTTTGGGAATTTTAATAAAATATCTTTGGAGGTCTTTATAACGGACAAAAACGTCTGGGATTTTTTTTTAAAATTATGTAAAAACTAAATTAGAAGATAAAAAGAAATCAAGTTTCCAAAAAGACATTTTTTTGGATATTTCTTTTTGCAAATGTTATATGGTGCGCGGTAACGAAATAACCGCAAACGCTCTACCGGACTCGCGGGACTGGATTCGCCAATTGACGAAATTATATTTTGTCACAATTTCAACTTGCCAAAAGGACCTTCCCAAAATTCGTCGCCAGCTCTCAGACTATTACTTGTCATTCTAATTTTATTTAAAAGTGCTAACAATGAAATATAAATTAGTGTCTTACAGTAAAGACGACAATCTTGTGCACTAGTTAAGGGATTTAACTCTGTCATAATTTGTGCGAACTGTTTAGCAGTGTTTTTCAGTTAGTGACATCCCACACCTCACCCCCTCGAGTAATGGACACAGGCTTTTAATTTTTTTTCTTTATACAGTGCCGCTTTATATATAGTGCTGATTCCACATGCCTTTTCTGGTGAATGTGCTTTCGTCAGTCCAACAAAGAAAAATTAATTGGAACTTAAGTTTTACGGATTTTATCGCGTTTAATTTAACTTTTTGATTCCCTACGTTTCGGGTGCTTTACAGCACCCATGGTCACGGTGGGGGCTGAGGTGTTTGACGTCCCGATGTCATAGTTAGCCCGGCTACCTTCAGATTTTTAGTCCGATCTACGCATTCTGCGTGGATTGGACTAAAAATGAATATTCAAAAATTGAAGGTAGCCGGGCAGTTTAAGTTAAATTAAAGTTACCATTGTTGCTGCACGTTGTATATATCATAAACTGCTACTTTGACATCTTTAGCAGAGTATTCAATGAAAAAATTGACATCAGAGTGGGCTATTAACTAATATATAGATAGATATAAGATAATAAATTAGTGCACAATTAATGCTGCAAGCACATGCGAAAAAAAAGCGCAAGCGAAAAATGCTACTTTGACAGATTCAGCAAAGTACGTGATCCAAAATTGACATACAGGTGGGTTATCACCTAGTGATATAGGATCATAATTCAGTCCTCATTTAGTGCTGTCGATGAACGAAAAAGTTATAAGTATATGTACTTATACTTTGGCACAGGGAACGGCTGCGTATGGCTCCTCCCGTCCGGTACGTCGGCGGTCCGTGTTGCTTTTATTTATAAGATAGGGTGACAAACGGGCACACAGTCAACCTGATGGTAAGTGGTTGCTGTGACCCATAGACATCTACATTTATCCTCAATAAAGAATCAAAATGCAAATGCGTCGTAACCCGTGAGGACTAAGTTGGAATGCCTCTGTTCCAGTAAAATGGGTGTACGGTTCTCTACACTCACCATACCAAACAGCAATGTCAAGCTGCCATTTTACGCTGGTATTCTATGAGAGCGTGGTCCTTCCCCGGTCGAGCCGACTCATTTGTGCTACAACCAGTGACGTAGCAACCCAGGGGTAAGGCGGGACAGTGCCCCGGGGCCTCCAAGCTAAAGGGGCCCCTTGGCCTCCAAGAACGACGTTCGAAAAATTCTAGTTATATAAAGAATTTTCGAGTTTTAACTTTTTGGCCCCAAACCAGGAACGGCTCGAACTGAAATCAAAAATTACTCCCACTTCCAGAAAATAAATATAACATTGTTAAAGATAATTATCTACTTCGATTTATTGTCTTCTTTATGTGCGGCATGCGGCTCACATCACAACAGTGGTAGAGCCACGCGGTGGCTTTTGCTGTCGCACGGATGGGCCGGCTCGAACCCGGGTGGTACCACGACCTCTCAGACGCTATCCGTGAATCTCTGCAACATCAGGGGATTTCATTCGAACGTTAACGAAGTCCACTAGGTACCATCTGAAGACGGCGAAGCTGACCTTGCTCTTTCTAACCGAGGCGCAGGTGTTCTTCCCGGTCGATACTTCTATCCGGGGTTCAAATGATAATATCATGTATGCATGATGGTAGCAGAAGTTCCAAGAGGGAAGGTGCACGATCCTCCACATCTAGAATCCCCGTAGGTGAAGTAACCATTTGTGTCGGACCATATGCCAAGGCTGTCACAAAGAGATCTTCTTGCATGATCGGTTAAACGAGAACCAAGTCATTCAGCGTGGTGGCCGTTAAAACCACCAGGGATCATAATCTCTGCAGACAGCACCTGCATCGATTTGGACGTGGTCGATGAGTTGGTCTGTGTCAGCACTACCTATAGAAGCACCCGTAGGTGCGAGGATGGTCGTCGCTGAATTTCAAGACTGCCGAGGCGTCGAGAACAGAAGTCCTCTCTGACTTATACGCAAACTCCAGCCCGAGGCACAAAGGTGTTATAATTTGAACCCCGGATAGAAGTATCGACCGGGAAGAACACCTGCGCCTCGGTTAGAAAGAGCAAGGTCGGCTTCACCGTCTTCAGATGGTACCTAGTGGACTTCGTTAACATCATCATCATCATCATTACAGCCCTTCACAAGTCCACTGCTGAACATAGGCCTCCCCCAAAGAATGCCACAAAACACGGTCCTGAGCCACCTGCATCCATCGACTTCCTGCATGTCTTACCAGGTCGTCACTCCATCTCGTGGGGGGACGCCCTACACTTCGCCTACCGGTACGAGGCTGCCACTCGAGAACCTTTCTTCCCCATCGGTTGTCGGTTCTTCGAGCTATATGGCCGGCCCACTGCCACTTCAGCTTACTAATCCGTTGGGCTATGTCGGTCACTCTGGTTCTACTGCGGATATCCTCATTCCTAAGTTTATCACGCAGAGAAACTCCGAGCATAGCCCTCTCCATAGCATACCCCCCAATGATGAGAGCAACAAAAAAACGGCCCCCAGTCCCCGGCGGCCCCGCTATTCCTGGCTACGGTGGCGACCATGGTAACGGCGGGGCAGGGGGTGCTAAGAATCTCCGGTGGAGGTTCGGTTGCCACCTTAGACGACTCGACCTGGCAACGTACAACGCACGCACCCTGAGGACTGACGAGAAGATCGTGGAGCTGGAAGAAGAGATAGACAAGTTGCGCTGGCATATTATAGGATTATCCGAAGTCCGAAGAGAGGGGGAGGACACGGTAATCCTCGAATCCGGCAACTTGCTCTATCACCGGGAGGGCGACCATCTGTCCCAAGGAGGTGTCGGATTTATCGTCCACAAGTCTCTCGTTAACAACGTTGTAAAAATCGGGAGTGTGTCGACGAGGGTTGCGTACCTTATACTCAGAATCACCAAACGGTATTCGCTGAAGGTCATACAGGTTTACGCACCAACCTCGGCACACCCCGATGAGGAGGTGGAGGAAATGTATGAGGATATCTTTAGAGCCATGCATTCCTCCAAAACCCAATATACGGTGTTAATGGGAG